GGCGCCCAAGGCGGCAACACGGAGGCCAGTCCGAGCCGTCCATGTCCGGCCCGCGCAGACGCCCCGGGCGGCCCCTTAGTTCCGCGACTTCCTGGGGCGCGGACTCCACCCGGACGCGGGGTACCGGGACACCCGCAGGCCGCGGGCACCGAAGTCGGGGCAGGAAATCTTCCGGAGCCCGAAGGGGGGAAGCTCACCCCGGGCGGCGCGTCCCCCTCGCCGCCGAGCCGCCGCGCGACAGGCAGGAGGCCGGAGCGGCGAGGGGGGAGTCGAAGTCCAGGCAGAAAGATACTGCCCGCGAGGAAAACTCCAAGCCGGCGCCACACTCCGCGGCTCGCGCCTCACTCGCGGACGCCGTGAGCCGCCTCCCCTTTCCTAGACCGACACGCCGCCGCCATCTTGTTTACCGCCCTGCGCCGCGCCGTCGTCGCACGCCTCAACGGCGGACACGCCCCCTCGCAGACCTAACGTGCGCGGCCGTTGGCTGTAGCTTTAAGCCCCGCCCCTCGATCCCTCCTCGATCCCCAACGCGGATTGGCCTATTTGGAGCCTGTAGGCGGTCGAGCTGACATTGGACAGCTCGGTTCCACCTCAGAAAGCGAGATCTACGTTTTATTGGTTGACTCAGACGCCCGTCAATGGGAATTAGAGTAAACTAACGACTCTAAGGGAGCGACTGTGGGCTGTGACCTCAAGACCCGCCCCTCAGTGGGGCTCCAGAGAGAGAACTGGTTAACGCTAGTGTGTGGGGGCGGGATCTTCTTTCTCAATGGTTGTTGTAGACGCCCGTTAGCAAACGCGACGGCTTGTGGTGGTGACCTCGGAATTCCGAGGCTCGGTTTAGGGTTCGCCCCCGTCTACGTCCTCCGGGGAACGGCCGCGAGTGGGAGGGTGGAGAGAGAGCCTCGTGGCTCCCGAAATCGGCCCGCCCCGGGCTCATTCCCAACTGCCTTTGGGGACGGGATCAAAGGTCAAACTCGACTGGACAAATGGGAGCCGGAGCGCAGCTGCCGCCGTTCTTCAGAACTGCGACGGTGAGGTGGCTCTGTGGGTACAGGCGCTTGCTGTCAAGTCTGAGGACCTGAGTTCGATCCCCGGTGAGAACCTCCTCCCGCAGGTTGTCTTTGACCGCCTAACGCACTCCGCGGGACACACAGGCACACAACACACGCACGCACGCGTACACACACTCACAATAAAATTTGCTTAAATAATATAAGAGCTGTCAAAAATGTGGCTTGGTAAGATTGGCGTCGCTGCTGGCCTCAGTTTTCCTGCAGTACCCTGTTTGGAGATGTCGTTTCTAGTATTTTAAATGTGCTTGCTCTTATGTGTATGCTTGTTTGGGCTGCATGTGTGAAAATAAGGGTTGGGGTATAATTGACGGGTGAGTGCTCACCCAGTTCGACTCCCGGCCACACGCTAGACTTCACACACTACAATCTCCGTAGAGCCACTAGGGGGCGGGCTGGCACAAGTCACATAGGCACGGGGTGCGCGAGGTAGCTGAGCAGGTAAAGGAACTCAATTTGACGTGAGTTTAGCCAGCAGGATGCAGTGGCGGAAGGAAGAACTGACTGCAGGCACATAAGCAATTAAAGAAGAAAATCAGAGAAACAGATAATCCGGACAGTTGAAGGGAACACGGACTGGAAGAGACGAGAAGCCTGAGGGCGGGGCGGGGTTCTGGAGGATGGCTCGCGGGGGATAAGAACTCTCCCTGCTCCACCAGAGCACCCAGCTTCAATTCCCAGCACCCACATGGCAGCCCACAACTATAACTGCATTCTTGGTGGACTCAGCGCCTTACTCTGGCCTCCAGAGGCACCAACTATGTACACGTGGTGTATGTACATTCAAGCAAAACACTCATACACATGCAAAAATATAAAACAATGAGGATCTAGGATGTCATTCGACAATGATCAGGCAGTGTGGGTAGAAAAATTAGCCTCTCTCTTTTCCCCCTCCCTCCTTCCCCCTCGAAGCTGGGATCCCAGGCACGTACCATGTCTTGCAGCTGCCAGTTATACTTTTGAGTCTTTTAATTTGGAAATTCGGGAACTTGCTACTTCTTTAGTAATGAGAACCAGCAGGTTCCAGACCAGAGAATCATGGGGGGGGGGCACTAGGGAAAGGCCGACACTGAACGTAAAGAACACAGATTAAAGAGGTAATGTCTGGGGCTGGGGTTCAGTGGGTAGAGTGCAGGCCTAGCAGAACCGATGCAGCTCACAGAAGTCAGCTGTGCTGTCACCCCACCCCCACCCCGCTGAGGAGATTGAGGCAGAGGAAATCAGGTTTTCAAGGTCATCCTCCACTACACAGTTAGTTCCAGGCCAGCCTGATCTACAAAGGGAGTTCCAGGACAGTCAGGGCTATACAGAGAAATCCTGTCTCAAAAAAAGAAAAAGGAAAAAAAGAAAAAATCTCAATAAAATATTGTCCAGTGTCATGGGGCCACCATGTGAGTGCTGGAAATGAAACTCAGGACTTGTAAAAGAGCAGCCAGGACTCTCAACCGTCCCTCCAGACGTGAGGCACACTTTTAATTTCAGCACTAGTAAGGCACAGGCAGGTGGTTCTCTAAATTTGGGGTGACTCAAAATTGCCTATAACTCCAGGTTGAAATTGGGGTGGATCTTGGTCCCTCTCTAGGCCTCCTCCCAGCCACTCATGCACCTAACAAGCACTCTCAAGATACATACACACAAATATTTTTTTCAAAAACCAACAAAAATTAAGTACATTAAAACAAAGTTTTCATGGGGCTGAAAAGATAGCTCTGTGCGGTGGCTGCTCTTCCAGAAGACCCGGGTTTGGTTCCCAGCACGCAATGACAGCTCACAGCTATGTGACTCCAGCCCCAGGGGTGCACACAGCTAGCCAGACACTCTGAAAGAAGAAGAAATAGCTGCATGGTAGTTCACGCATTTTTTTCCCCAAGACAGGAGTTCTCTGTATAACTGTCCTGGAACTCGCTAAGGTAGACCAGGCTGACCTCCGAACTCACTGAGATCTGCCTGCCTCTGCCTGAGTGTTGGGATTAAAGGTGTGCACCACCACCGCCCGCAGTTGACGCCTTTAATCCCAGCACTCCGAAGGCAGAGTTTGAGGCCAGCCTGGTCTACAGAGTGAGTTCCAGAACAGCCAGGGCTACACAGGGAAACCCTATCTCAAAAAAAAAAAAAGTAATAATAATGGAATCTAAAAACAAAACAACAAAAATGACATGAAAGGTTCAGGGTTCAGGATATGACTCAGAGGTGTAGGTAGATTCCCTGGCACTCCTGGGTTTTATCTCTGGCATCTCAACGTGGATAAATTAAATAGGTGTGGCGGCAGGACCAGCTCATGGTCATCTTCCACTACATCGAGAGGTAGCCTGGGCTATGTGGAATCCTACCATGTTTCCGACTTGTCGTGTGCAGTGTGGTGTAACCTGACACCCCGGGCCCTTTGTACACGCCATACCCCAGGCTTCACCCTGTCACCCTGACTCTTCATGTGCCTCACTGAAGCTCAATTTCAGGTCTTTCTGACCTTGGCAACAGCTTAGTTGTCAGTGAATAACTCAATAACTAGGCAAGCTACTACTGTTGGTTTCTTTTGTTCTGTAGCCATAGCTGGCTAATACAAATCGAATGACATCCTCCTAGCTTAGGACCCTGGGTTCTGTTCTTGCCTTGCACATCAATGGACCCATTTGAGAAATGGGCAAGGGGATCCATTCACTCCCTTGTTTGAGATCACCACCTCAAGGCCCCTAACTTGAGGGATAGGAGATTCAGGGTCGCACCTGGGCGCCACTGGATGCTGAGTTCCATGCACATCCCCTCAAGTTTGGGAAGCTGAAGCACCATAGAAGCCTGGATTGGCCAATGCGAAGGAAGACAAACGCTGAGTCCACAGCCCAGCTGTTGGTATGCGCGCGCGGGATCTCAGTCAGCTGATGTGAGTCTCTGTCTTGCTTTAGTCTCATCTCTAAGAGCAGGACTTACTCCCCAAAGCCTCCCCCCAGCATGAGCCCTATGTGTTTCTGCCTACCATTTCAGTAGCTGGGGCAGAGTCATGTTCACTGCCCTTCAAAAACCTTCCCTGACCTTCATAGCTGGTTAATGTTTGCTTCTTTTGAGACAGGGTCTCTGGTAGCTTGGGCTGGTCTTGAACTTGTGATGTAGCTAAGGATGACCCTGAACTCTGCCTCCAGTGCTTAGAGACAGATGTAGGCCTTTTTTTTTTTGCCTTTGTAGCTTTGGAGCCTGTCCTGGAACTCGCTCTTGTAGAGCTGGGCTGGTCTCGAACTCACTAAGATCCACCTGCCTCTGCCTCCCGAGCTCTGGGATTAAAGGTGTGCACCATCACCGCCCAGCTCCTCCTTTCCTTTTTAGATCTACCTACGCGGCCCAGGCTGACCTCAGACTTTCAGGGCTTCCTCCTTAAAAACAAACAAACAAGCAACAAACAAAGGTCTGTGGTGCTCTGCTGGAATGGCAGTGCCGAGTCACACCCGGCCCTGGCCCATATTTCTCACACGCGTGTCGTGAGATGTCACACAAGCGTGAGGACGTGAGCTTGACTCCCAGAACCAGCATGGAAAGCCAGCGCACGGGACATGATGGCAACGGAGTGCCTTTCATCCTAGTCATGCCAGGCAGAGGCAGGCGGATCTCTGCAGATTCAAGGCTTCCTGCTTCACACAGGGAGTCCCAGGCTAGCAAGGGCCACACAATGAGACCTTGTGGTGAGGCGGTGGGGGCTGGAGAGATAACCGACCTCTGTGGGCACCAGTCCTGCCCACAGACACACAGGCAGACACACAGGCAGACACGCAGGCAGACACAGCACTCAAACACGCCACTGAAACGAACGACTCGGACTC